CTGCCGGATTAGTTTACCGCGAGTATTGTAATGAATAATAATTTAGTTATCTTTTCCACGTACTTTTTTCAATTTATCCATTTTTTATGTCTAATCTTTCGAGAACATAGCAGATTCTTTTATTTTGCCGATTGCTAGCATTTTTTCTTGAATTTCAAAAACAACGTGTGAAAACGCAACGTATCGTGACCGTACATGCGTAAATGCCGCCTGTCGGCACGGGTGAGTACTGATGCCACAAATATAAAATGTTATGAGTTTTATTTTGACATATTGGGCGTTGGGGACAAATCACCTTGTATATTTTCTACATTAATGTTTTGTACTTGCTCTTGGTTACTCAAATTGCATTTCATGAACGCAGAATAAGTTGCGAACGTATAAATCACCGATTTCAAACTTTTTGCATTTCGTAAATATTAATAGTGACCAATCTGTTTGTATTTTAAAAAATTGTAACATGTTTCAATTAAATTAAAAAGAGAATAGTAAATAACTTAGTGTGTATTGCAGTTCATGACATAAATGCTAGAATGCTGTATGTAAATGATATGCAAATCAATATGCAAATTTATGCTAATTAGGCCGCCCACCAGCTATTTTAGATTGTGGAGAACACTGTGCTTTCTAGTTGTTACAAATCAGATTCTTACTCAGTCATGATAATAATAACCCTCAACAAATTAATTCAGTGGACAGAAAATAAACATAGTGGCAGTGTGAAGCCTTTATATTTATTTTCCACCAGGTTTCAATCCCATAATTAGAGTACGCACATACATACAGATAGAATGAAACAATGACTCACTTTCTCTGTCGTCTCTCTTTGCGTTTTATCTGTCCATCCAGTAACTCCAGCATTTCTTGTAATTTGACAATCAATGTGACCTGGTGAGAGAACAAGAGTATATATTATCTTGTATTTTAATAATTCACTGTTGATATTACTCACCCAAATTTTATGGACAATTTTATAACATTTTGCATGGATTCTGATCAAATCAAAAAGGAGAGTTTTTGTGAATAATTGAGCAATGTTATTATCAATGAATAGGTTAGTAATTAAATAATCTGAATGTTACTGGGACGGCTGGGCATTCAATTTTTTTTTTTTTTTAAATTGTGCTAGCTCCTGAAGCAGCAACAATGTATTTATATGGAAGAACACCCACTGCAAAAAAATCACTCATGTGAAGTGTTTCAGCACTTGGGCAATTTTTTGGTGCCACAAAAACAAATAAATACTGGGAAAAATAACCCTGTAGTAAAAATTTGTGTTTTTTTTTTGTTTTTTTTGCAAGAGTGTGAATTAACCGGATACAAATCAACAGGTTTAAGTGAGATTTCACGCACACCATGACAGTCTATCATTGTGGTTCGATAGAGCTTTATAGAAAATATTCAATTCTGCCAAAAAAATAAAGCTATGACATTAAACACAAGATGGACATACAAAAACCAAGGTACTCTTGTTTTGTCAATAAAATATGTAATGCCTAGTTCATGTAGAACAAATTCCAAATTATGCAAATTATGACAGTACCCACAGCCACCCAATGGTGGATATAATTATATTGTGTTGGACCACACTCACATGTTCACAACTTGGACAGAACCATTCACCATCTGGTATCATCATTAATGGAGGACGTAAACATGCGGTATGATACCCGGCATCACATTTATCGCATAACAAAATCTGAAATACAATAAAAAATTAGTTAACTTTACTCGAAAAATATGATGTGATATACCACTGGAATAAAAATGATCAATTTTGAAAACTTACGAATATACGTTGCATCTATAGATATACCAGTATATGTAATCATTCTTTATACTCGTTCATTTGATTGGTTTGTATGAACATATCACCTGTAAGGTTTTTATTTCGGTGACAGAGACCTGCAGAAATATTCACTGAACAAAGTTTTTCCAAATTCAGTTAGAATTCAGTGTTGTGTTCCAAAATATGGATGAGGATATTAGGAATAACACTAACCCATTCAGGTTGGTCATATTGTCCACATTTACAACATGGTTTATCATCATCACATTTTTCCTCTTCCTCTTCCTCATCATCTTCCTCATCATCTTCTTTTTCTTCATCACTAATTTCTTTGTAAGATGGTTTCTTTGCAACTGCTTTCCTAGGAGTTTTTTTCAATGTTAATCTGGGACGCCCTCTCCTTTTTTTCTTTCTTCCTCTTTTTTTTGGTTCTTTTGTGGCTACCTCTTCCTCATTTTCAATCATCTCTTCTTCTTTATCCTCTGTTCCATTCTCTTTTTCCTCATCATCACTCGGTTTATCTTCTTCTTCCTTTTGATCATCTTCTTTCTTGTCTTTCTCTGTAAAAAAACGAATTTGTGATGAAAAACGAACAAAAAAATTGTTGGATTCATTTCAATTCCAATATTTACACATATTTACAGGCAGAAAACAGTAAAAGTATGATTGTTTTTGAAGCTGATTACTTAAGTACTAGTTAGACTGTAACTAGATGAAGGTCATAGGTCATAGAACATATCATAGGTCACGTAAATGGTCATAGATTATGTAGCGATAGGTTATGTACCCCCGGTAGGTCCTTTACCAGATCACAGGTCATGTTCTGAGCTATAGGTTATACAGCGGATGACAGGTTAAATAAGGAATCATAAGTCATGTGTTGGGTATAACAGAATCACTGCATTACCTTTGTCAGTTTGTTCCTCTTCTTTGTCACCAACTTTCTGTGTTTTATCTGCATCTCCTTCTTTACTATCTTTCTGCTCTTTTTCATCTTCCTCATCAGCAGTTTCTTCCTTCTTAATTGACTCACTGTTAACTGCAGATTCCTTCTGTTCCGCATCTTTGGTTGACGCTGATTTGGGGTCCTTCCTCTCCTCTTTTTGCTCTTGATCATCCTCATCTTCTTGACTTTCTTTTTTTATTTTGTCGATGGAAACTGGTGTTTTGTCATCCAAACTATCCCTGCTGTTCTCATCGTCTGAAATCAGAAAATCTTCTATTATACATACACTATGCACTCGTTCACTTTAATCGCTTACCAAAGGCATCACTGTTAATTTGCATCTACCCGGTATATTAACATAACCGTTAAGCGAGAAGTCGCAGAAGAACTGATATACTTATCTGCCTTGCAAAATCATTGGCTAGGGAGGTGCAACTTCCATATCTATGTATAATAATATACTTAGTATAATGAAGATCTCCCATGCATCCTCTTATGCTAGTTACATGGCAAAAAAAAGCTGCACCACAAAACTGTGAATACAGTGGATATCTGGGTTTAGGTTTGAGTAATACACGCTTGGTAAATAAGCAATGACACAAGTAAAAATATTTTACCAGTAACACTCACCTGCATTCTTTTGATCATTAGTTGTGACTGATCCCGATGTAGAATCGGTGTCATCTGATTTTTTTTCTGTTACACCTCTCAATGATACTATCAGTCGAGATAACTCTTCACGATCACTGTGGGTAAAAAGGTTATTCTTGTTATGCTAGCCAAATACCATATCACACATGGAGTAATACCTACTGGGTTTTTTATTTTAACTCGCCCAAATTGGAGAAGAAAACCTTCTATTGATTCAAAGTCAGTACATTTGGATTTTAGTGAAGGAATTTTAGTGAAGTAAGCTCTATATAGTACTAAGTCAAAGGGTAGGATAGAACTAATGTGATTACCAACATCCTGCAATCAAACCTGTTTTATTTAATATTGTCAGCTATATAAATAAATAGGCAATTTGAGCATTCAATCTACAAGCCATTTTTTATTTTTACACAATTGGTTAAGAACAGTGTAGAACTCGTGCATAACCTTCAAAGTATAGCATTTGTTTAAAAAACATCAAGCATTTTGTCATGTCATTATTTATTCACAAAGAATTTTGCTTCGACAAATAAATGAGTTAAACAAAAACTGGTGTTGAACAGAATTTTCAAGAGCTTTGTTTGGTTGAAAAACCTCCTTATGGGAATAATTAACTAACAAGCAAGTTCAAAACAAATCACTGCAAAAGTGACACAGCTGGAATGGAAAATATCAGCACAAATAGCTTCATTTGATCAGTTTCCAATTCTGTATCGAGTACTGGGTACTAGGAATACTTTCAGTAAAAACCCATAATCCGGGCAAACGTTATCGTTTAGTAGGGTCAGACATTTTGAAATGCACAATTATGAACATCAGAATCCTAGATTTACTTCATAAATGATAAGTATACCGGTACTTGACAAAACAGTTTACTAAAACTGTTTTAACCCTTTGAGCACCCAAGTCTAAAGTTTTCAATATTTGTTCAGACATTTTGATCAAGAATGGGAATTACTAAATTACGCCCACTTAGTCCAATAATACAGACAAATGCAGCACTTGAATGTTGACGAGAAAAATAATGGTGCTCAAAGAATTGATACATAACCTTTAATAGTTGTGATAATTCGCTATTTTATCGCATACTGCTAACAGACAATTTACAGAAAAATTATTTTATAAATTTTAGAGAAGCCATGGCATATAAGCTTACCTGACAACTGAATGCCAAGTGGATCCGTCAATGTCGTCTTGTTCTTCTCTGTATATTCCTATGTTAAAATCTAAATCCTATTTTGAAGAAAACAAAAATTTCATCAATGTCCATCTATTATTCTGGGAATACCGGTAAATCTATACACAACAATAGTCAGTCAGGAATTAATACAGTAATAGATACACGGATACATTTATACATGTAACATTTTATACAGTTATACATCATATAGTGCTCGTACCCTTCAAATCAAAAGGGGCAGATATAATGACGTTTTAGCTGAGGACCGAATTTGCCCAATTCATCCACACTTGTTTCAAATTACAACAAGAAAAAATCCTAAAAAGCCAGATGCCTCAACCAAGTACCACATAATTTAAATTTGTTCTTCTTTTTCTTTACATTCAAATGTCTGTGCCTGTCTTGTTACATTTTGTTTTCTTTTTTGTTACTTTCTTGTATTTTCAACTAAGATCCCACTCTGGGATACAGTTTTCAATAAAGATTATTATTATTAATATTACAACAAGGCTTTTTATTAACTTTGAAACTCGACTTGTCTGAAATGCATGTTGTATTTATAAATATCGGAGTTACAATTCAGTTGTCAGAAGGGCAATTTTACTTGTCTCTCTCTGCCTATAGGAATACCGTATTTACTCTAATAGTAGCACATACGCTCACGTAAATGGGAGAGAATTTTCTATGGTCAAAATAATTAATATTTTGATGATTTAACATACAATTTTTGGTTTACGGTATATATGCTT